GTGTGTGTGTGTGTGTGTGTGTGTGTGTTTATATATATCTTGCACTCCTCATCACTCCACCGCTCCCATTTTTGTGTTGCCATAAGTTAGTCAATGGGGGTAAAAGTTCCCGGAACTAAGTTCTCTTTTTGGTGTGAACGCAAAATAAGGGGTAGCCTACTAACGGAACTAAACGGGAAAAGTACGGGGAAAAGTAAGGGGAAAAGTACTCCGGTGTGAACGTCGACGATCCTGCTGATATCCACTTTGGCAATGTCTGATGAGGGCAAGTAGTCAAAAATAGAAGAAATTATTTCAATTTTTAGATGTTCATTCAATTAGATTTCTCGCACTTTGCTGCAATATGAAGGAAATCAGACTAATCTGGTGGAAAATGTATTAGAAGGAGAGCAGCTACTGCATGTGTGTGTTTGTGTGTGTGTGTGTATTAAATATCATTAATCTCCCATCAGTTGAACCAAGATACATTTTTTTGACATGTATTAATTCATTTTCATTATTTCTTATGAGAATTCAAGGGCCAGTTGTTATTGTGTGTAGCTCAAATAAATCCGCTTGGACTGGCACAATGCAAGAAATGTGCATTGTGCATGCAAATCATTTAGTTTATTTGTATTTTTATCATATGTTTGCATGCATTTATCAATTTGAGAGCACTAATTCATATTATTACCATTATTATTATTTTATGTTATTATTGTTCAGTTTTAGTATTATTTTATTGTATTCTCTATTTTTGTTCGTAGTTGCAGTTGGTTGTTGGTTATTTATCGGAGCTACTCTACAACATGCTGCCCAGGCCCGCAGAAATGCTGGCTCCGGCAGTGACTTCTTGTGCTCCTCTTCTCCGCATGGTTAATAAAACTGCAGCGACGTAATTTGCTCTTAATGACAAAAATAAATGTTCACTAAACTGTTTACATGTCAATGGCCACATGGGGGCCTCCGTGTCCTCTCTACCGCCTTCAACCTCTCTCTCCTCATTTCAAGCCTTTGCCAAATTCCCTCCCTCCCTCCTCCTCTGCCTGGCAGTAGTCCCTCTCAGGCCGAGTAGGGGAGCATTCACACCCCGCTGTCGGTGTTTAGCGGATGGGGCTCTCAGCCTGAGCCGGAGGGAGGAGGAGGAGGAGGAGAAAGATGACCGGTATCCCGTGTCCCCGCAGGCTGGCCCGGCGCTCCAAGTCCGCCCTGCTGATCGCCGCCTTGGCCGTGTTGCTGGTCCAGACCCTCATCGTGTGGAACTTCAGCAGCCTGGACTCCGCAGGCGGCGGGGACGGAGGCGCCAGGAGCCGGGAGAAGAGAGAGGAGCGAGCCGGGGGGCTCAACAAAGCAGACAAGGAGCACCCGCGGAGGGGGCTGCAAAAGAAGGGCGACCCGCCGCCGCTCGGGAAGGCGGCCGTACAGCACAAGCTGCAGGCGGTAAGGTTTAAAATAATACCTGCTTCAGCTAAAACAAGTTTTGTGAGTCAAATTAGATATTTTTACACCTGTGTTTCCTCAACCGAGTGGAACATTTGCGTATGTCCCGGGAGAAGCCGCATGGTAGCTACGTAGAAGATGCTACGGAGTGGCTGCCGCTGTTGTTTTGGCATTTGCATCAACACATGAGTCGGTAGGCCAGCCTCGATATACAAATCTGCCCATTTAAGGAATCGATTAATGACCACATTTACCAGGTTAAACGGACTCGCTTGCCTTTTCCTGGAGATTGTAGTCACTGTTCAGTTGTCTGTAATGAGCAAGCAGCCTTCCATACATTTAAAACTTAAAGCCAGAATATTTTTTTTAACCACTTACCTTTATCAGTTTAATTCGCTGTGTTAGCCACTGTAAAGTCAGCATTGATGGAAGGAAATATCGATGTTTGCTGTCTGAAAGGGCATGTACATTGTTAATGTTCATGACGAATGTAAGAAAATCACCGATATTGTCCTACAATATCTTATTTTGTGTTCTCCATTATATGTGCGTCATCGAAAATGAAAAACAAATATAATAGTCTGTTTTGTTAACGCACTTCGGTTGGCAATTCTCCACTCAACATACAGCAAAGCGTCTCGTCTGCAGTACTGTACGTCATTTTCATTACTTTTAATATAAAAGATCAACATAGTTTGTATGTATCCTAAATGCATAAAACCTTTACAGACATTTCAGCTTTTGTGTGTGTGTGTGTGTGTGTGTGTGTGTGTGTGTGTGTGTGTGTGTGTGTGTGTGTGTGTGTGTGTGTGTGTGTTGTCCTGACAGTTATTGGCTTTTAAAACAGTAGAGATACATGCCAGCACATTTTTATAGAGCAGAAGTTTAGGAGGTGAAAAGAAAGAGGGAAAGGAAACAAAAGCGGCAAGGAAGAAGGTCGAGGTGACCACTGTATGAGTAATTAAAAATATGTGGAGATTCAATAATTTAAAGGCTCTATTGTCCTATGCACAATAGTTACAGTGTAGTGGTTTGCAATTGAAATCTTAAATCCCAGGCTCCTCCAACAAGGCAACATACAATATACTGACAGTTTGACATATTGAACAAAATACAATTTATTAAGCTTTTCTTCTTACCGGAAGTGTAGCTAAGATTGCCCATAAAAACATCAGAAAAAGGTCAAAATGTCTGTTACAGCCTAAATCTTCAAAGACGCCTTTCTATGTTCATATATTCAACAAATGATCCTAAACACCAGCAGCAAAGACATTTCAATGAAGAAGTTGGAACCTTTAATTGTTTGGCAATTGCATCCTCTTTCACAGAGGGTGCAGCGTTTATGGCTTTGTATGTTGTTGTAGTGTTGCACAGATTAATTAATTTAGGGCTGCTAATTATTTTGGTGTTAAATGTGAGAAAACAGAGAACATCCTCAGTTTAATAGACTTCTAGCTACAGTTCAGTCACTCACAAATTGAAAAACTTGCTGTAAGTTAGTGCAGATATATTGAGAATTTCCATACAGAATCTATCAATGTTAAAGATATTGTCCTAAAATATCATGATGTGTATATTATATGTTATTGATTGTGTGTTATGTTGACAGAGTTTGGTTTTAAATTTCTCCACTCAACAAACAGCATAGTGCCTTGACAGAATATAGTCTACAAAGGGCTGCGCATGTTATGCAAAAAAATATAATTTAGTGTGCAAATAATAGATTTTTTGAATAGTTCATGTGTTGTTAAGCTTTTGATTTAACTCTCCTTAGTGGGGCTACAACTGTAAACTTTCTCCCGAGTTTGGTGCAAAAATAAATGTTATTCCTTATTAACAAATTCAATTTCCCAGTTGATTTTAAAATATTTGTGCTGTTGCCTTTTAAAGTTCATCTGCCTGTTGATTCCCGGGACTGTGAAATATCAATCATTTGATCAATTGATTGATGGACAGTAAAGATTTCTGTGTTTGTTAAAGTTATTTAGCAAACAAGATGCTTGATTAATCCCCAAATGAAATAAACGGATCAATGGATATTTAGACATTATTCATTAAGTGGAGCCCTAATAGCATGTTTTTTGTTTCTGTTGCAGCTTTGTGATTCTGTAGTGAAAATCAGTGAAGACTGAACACGTGTGAAGCTGATAAATTGTGTGGGAGTGTGTTTATTGACAGGAAGGAGCATCCTATTTCCAATAAAAGTGTGTGTGTGTGTGTGACTTTCACTGCAGCACCTTCCACAGAAGCATTAAAAATACCTGCAGTGTTTCCATCAACCAGCCTGGTGTCTGTGTCATTTGTGTGTAGCACTGTGTGTGTTTGTACGTGATGCACCGTGTTTGGCACTGTCTGGGTGATGCTGTGTCTACGTTTTTGGGTCATGCACTGTTTAGCAGTGTGCATGTGACCCATCATGTGTACTGACTCAGTGTGTTTACAGCCGTCGTGGATGGCTCCACAGTTGTTGCACAACTCTCACATTCATCACACCTTTGCGGGGAAGTGACACACAAACAGACAGACACACACAGTTCTGGTTAGATCAGATTAGAGGATTGGTTTGGATCAGGTTCCACCGATGTAATTAATACTTTCTAATCTAGTTTAGATTGTTCGATAATCCTGTGTGTGTGTGTGTGTTTCTTCTGTATCTGTGATTCTTCTGTATCTGTGAGATCAGCTTTAAAACCTTTACAGTGAGAATATGTTTGGATAGAAGGGATATTTGGTGAGGGTTGGGATTAGAAGTGTAGCTGTGATGATTACAAAGGTTTTTAGAGCTCAAAGCACCAGAAATGTCAACAACAATCTACCTTAAAATAAGTACTGTCCCTATGTGAACATTATGTAGAATATGTGAGTTGCTGAAGTACAAATACATTTTGAAAGCATCAACCACCAATCACATGATCTTCCAAGATCTAATAGTTTCAGTTGGCCCCAGTAGACCTGACATACACTGAACCCAGATATTCACCAAATTCCATCTATAACATTTTACAACCTGAAGAGTCAAACAAAGATACAACACACATATATTTCTGTTATAACAACAATACTTTTAATAAGATAGCCGTAACAGTAGGCCTAACAGTGTAATACTTGTTACCGACACACTAAGAGTATTTAAATAAATGCAACAAACTGTAATAAAT